TGAGCCCAGGAAAAGTAAAATAGGGAGACAAGTTCATCCCTGCTAGAAACACCAAGCCCTGACTTCCTACCTGGAACCCCCAGGAGGGGAGAAGACAGGTGGGCCACTCCCACCTGGGCAGACCCCCTCCCCCCCCAGCTACTGGAGGGAAGCAGGCAGCCTCAAGCAGGAGCCTCCAGTCCAGACCTGTCTGGGGGAGGGCCCAGGGAGGGCCACATGGGGCCCTCAGAGGGCACTGGGTGGAGTCCAGAGGGGTGGGATGAGAACCTGGAGCCTAGAGGGGGCAGAAGAGGGCAATAGGAGCTGGGAGAAGCCACTTTCCACCTCCGCAGGGAAGAATGTAGGGGGGAGTAGGGCAGGGAACAGAAGCTAAGTACCAGACAGCAGACAGAGCCAGCCCAGGCCTGAGGGAGGACCTCGTTCAGCTCAGAAACCTCCCCCGGATATCCCAGCAGAGCCCCGGGACTACCTTCCTGATGGCCTTAGATAGCTGGCCTGGCAGGGAAGACGGGAGGGTGCAAGACAGGGAGCTTGGTCACCAAGACCCCTGGCTTTAGGGCTGGCAGGGCTAGACTGGGCAGGCGCCAGACTCACTCCGACCCTGGCCCCCTGCCCTGTCCCTGTGCCAGGCCCCGGCAGGGGCAGACAACACTTCCTTTCTCTGCTCCTGGCTCCTAGTGAGTAGGGAAGGGCCCTAGGCCGCCCCGTCAGCCCTCAGCCAGGCCTGTGGGCCTACATCCTTCCTGGTGGGCTCAGGGAGGTTCTAGGATCTGCCTTCCTGATTTGGGGTAGGGAGGGTGTGGGCAATGTCCAGACCAGGACAAGGTGGCTGCCGGCTGGAGAAGTCTGCTCAGCCGCCCGCCCTGGAAGCCCTACTGTGCAGTGTGTGGGCGGCTGGCACTGGGAGAGGCTGGGCCACCTCCCTGGAGAAGCAGGAGGTGGGGTCTACTTCCCCTTCCGGAAGGAGCAGTGGGCCTTCCTAGCCCAAAGGTGGTGCGGAGGGAGGGGCACATACCTGTCTCAGTTATGCCAGGAATGTGGCTCCCCAGGCAGAGGACTTGGAGGAGGAGCCTTCTTGGTCCTTCCTGGGGGCTGTGGACTGGGGGAGGGGCCTTGGCAGGGCCAGGTCAGGAAGACCCTGCAGGCCTTGGGGAAAAATGGAGGAAGGGGAGGTCTTTACTAGAGCTGGGGAACAGGTATGTAGCCCCCTCAGCAGGTACCCCTCAGGTCTGGGCCCAGGCTGGGGGAATGGTGGGGGGAGAGTGGCACTTGGCCTGGAAGGATATGTCCTCCCCTACTCTGCCTGCTTTGAGTCTTTGAGCCTAGGACAGGGATGGCCCAAAGTGAGACCAGGTGGTCTCAGGGGGGACCTCTGTAGACTAGGGCTGCCTGGAATTTACCTGGGGTCCCCAGGAGCAGAATGAGGTCAGAGTCAGATGGAAAGGGGGGCGATTTGGTCCCACTCCCTCACTAGGGTGAGGCCTTGGCTTCTAGAGGTCCTGGAGTGGGGGTTGATGTCCTTATCTCCTTCAGAATAGGAGGAGGTATACCCACCTCCCACCTCCACCCAGACTGAGGGGGGGGATACAAAGGATGATTCCTTCTCCAGCTTAACCCTGACTCCAGGGACCTTGTCCCTCAGGCTTAGGGAGCCTCAAGGGACACAAACCTCTCTTACCCCAACTCCTGGGATGTGCTGACCCTGTAGAGGCACCCAGCCCTCCCAGGCCAACCCCATATCACACCCTGGTCTGCTCCCAAAGTAGAGATCTATGTCACCCCACTCAGCTTCCAGAGTTCCCAGCACCATACACTGGGCCCAGTCTCCTCATTCTATCTCCTCCTCAGAGGCGTCCCCACAATTCCCAGCTCCACTTGCCCCAATCATGTGCCCATGGCCCTCCTCCCTGGCTGGCCCCACTCCAGGGAGGTCCAGTGGCCATGGCCACTTCTGGGTGCCCCCTAGGACTGTGCAATGGCCTGTGGGTCTCAGTTATCCCTCCTGGAGCTCTGGTCCTAGATCAGTCACCAAGGGCCAGGTGCCCACAGCAGGTCAAGTCACACCTGCTCCTGGTTGGGGGCTCTCCCCATGAGCCCTCCTTCCCAGCTGCCTCTCTGCTCAGCTTGAACATTCACAGCTCCCAAGCTAGGACCTGGCATAGGTAGAATGGGCTTTGGCAAGATGCCGGATCTTGTTCTGCCCAGGGTGACCCTCCCATCACATGCCCTCTGACCCTACAGTGAGTCCTTAGTTACTGAGTCATGGACCCTCAGGCTGGATCCGCCTGGCTGTAGAGTTAATCATTTGCTTCTTGATCTTTCAGAGACAGGGAACTGTTGAGCCCTTGACCCTCCTTCTCTGACCCCTCCTCAGCCTCCTACTCATCCCCCAAACAGAGTATCACCATTCTATATCCTGTACTATCTCCAGTCACCCACCTCTACTTTTTCCCCAGACCACGAGCTTCTAGAATAGAGCCAGGGCTTCTAGGTCTTGCCCAGCAGGAGGATCAGGCAGGGACCCTGCAGCTGAGCCTGTACCTGGAAGAGAGCCAGGGGACCCTTCTCTGTGCCGTGCCTCAGCCCTGAATCCTGAAGCCAGCCTCAGGAGTAGCTGATCGCAGGCCAGAGTCAACAGAGCTTCCCATGTTGGGTGCTACCTCTCTTCCTGCAGTCTCTCCCCACCCTCACCCCAAGCAAGCAGCAAGCGTAGGAACAGGGAACCAAGATGAACCCACCATCCAAGATCCCACAGATACCTCTCAAGAGCCTAGCCAACATCACAACAGTTAGGTAGACAGACGAGAGGATATCCCTGTTGGCCAACAGAGCGAAGCAGAGGGACAGGAAGTCTCGACCCTTGCCCCTGCCCTGGAGAGAAAATGTTCTCTCTTCCCACCCCTTTCAACCCATACATCCCTTCCCAGGCAGCCATGAAGGAACAGACAGGATGTGGGGGCGACTCCTGACACATTCCTCAGCCAAGGATCTCAGCCCCAAAGTGGGGCTGTCCTAAGGCGAAGGGGGAGCCCTGGCCATGTGATTTCGGCTCACCTCCCAGAGGCTGGGGTGGGGGAGGCACACTCCTGGGCCATTCAGAAGTCATTATGTGGGAACAGCAGGCAAGAAATGGGCCTCCCCTTGCTTAGGGACCCCACACCCAACCAAATCCCTAGAAACACCCCACAAAACTGCTCTTCCCAGAAACAACAGGCCTTTTGAACACAGACAAGGCAGCCCCCATCCTCCAATCCCTATGCCCCACCACATGGGGTCTGCTCAACATGTGGGCCCAGTCTAGACAAATGTTTGGGCTTCTGCAGGACGATAAACAGCTGGTGCTCATTCACCTGCTCCCAGCCTCTCTGCTAGATGAGGGCCCTTCAAGAGGGAGTGTAGTGGGGAGGAGGATGGGAGACAGCAAGAGGCCTATCCCTTTGCAGTGCTGGGACCTGGGTAGGCTCCAAGATGAAAGGTGGCTGATATCAGGGCTTGGGGCTGCTGACCTCAGGACGGCTAGACACAGCCAGGAAGTGGGGAGCCAGGAAGCCAGGAATGAGGTTGGCCCACGGTCAGACGGTGAGACACTGTGTGTTCTAGCTCAGAACAAACTCTGCTCTGCACCCCTCCCCCAGCCCACACCAAAGAATGATGGGGCTACAACTCTCAGTAACCTCCTCTTGAGCCTGTTCACCTCTGCCCACACCTCTCAAACCCTCTGCCACTGCTCTAAATCCCTAGAAACACCCCACAAAACTGCTCTTCCCAGAAACAACAGGCCTTTTGAACACAGACAAGGCAGCCCCCATCCTCCAATCCCTATGCCCCACCACATGGGGTCTGCTCAACATGTGGGCCCAGTCTAGACAAATGTTTGGGCTTCTGCAGGACGATAAACAGCTGGTGCTCATTCACCTGCTCCCAGCCTCTCTGCTAGATGAGGGCCCTTCAAGAGGGAGTGTAGTGGGGAGGAGGATGGGAGACAGCAAGAGGCCTATCCCTTTGCAGTGCTGGGATCTGGGTAGGCTCCAAGATGAAAGGTGGCTGATATCAGGGCTTGGGGCTGCTGACCTCAGGACGGCTAGACACAGCCAGGAAGTGGGGAGCCAGGAAGCCAGGAATGAGGTTGGCCCACGGTCAGACGGTGAGACACTGTGTGTTCTAGCTCAGAACAAACTCTGCTCTGCACCCCTCCCCCAGCCCACACCAAAGAATGATGGGGCTACAACTCTCAGTAACCTCCTCTTGAGCCTGTTCACCTCTGCCCACACCTCTCAACCCCTCTGCCACTGCTCTAACCTCCACTGGTTCCTGCATGGACACCCCCCCACGCACCTTCTACACAGAACTCCACCTCCTCCAGGTTCCGCAGAGTGATCCGCATGAGGCTGGAGTTGAGCATCAGCTCGTTCTTGTGGGCTGGCCACATGTACGGGGGTGCAGGGTTCACAAAGAAGATCCTGGTGTCCCCAGTAGACACCTGGTTGTCACAGATGAGGGGATCTCCAAAGCCGCCAATCACCACCTTGTTGCCACCATCCAGCAGGCTTTCCTGGGCCACCACATCTTTGCCCTTCAAGTACCGCCACACCCGAACCTAGAGTGAACATGGGGGCCAGGCTGTCATTGGTTCTCTTCCTACTGGGGAAAGGGGGCCAGACCGGGGACCTGGGCTTGTCCCCCTCTTCTGGCCTCAGCTGCTCAGGCCTAGTGTCCATAAGCCCTGAGCAGAGAAGTACAGAGATTTTTGAGTCGGCCCCCTGAGCAGAGGCTGCTGGGCGGTCTGCACACTCACTGGACGCCACTGCCCTTGTGTGTTGCACATAAAGACCTGCCACCCATCCCCCAGGAAGATCCTCCACCCTCCAGCTCTAACCAACCGCAGCCATCCGAACTCCAATAACATCCATCTCAGCTCTGGCTGGATTTGGGCAGGGGGCCCATCTAGCCTGGAGCTCTTGTCTTCCACACGCTCTCATCCCCATCTACCCACTAACTACTTGGGGCCACCCCCTGGGTAAATCCAGGAGCAGCAATCAAGGCAAGGGGCCAGCTTGGGTCCTTGAAACCCTGTACATGCACTAAGACACCCTCCCAGCTGGGAAGTGAAAGCCCCCGCTTCCCAACAGGCTCCTCCTGTAGTCTGTGCAGTCAAGGCAGCTCAGGAACCACAAAATCAAGTTCGGGCAGCACAGGGCAGCCCCACCCTCCACCTTCTCGGCTCTTTGGGCCCCGAGGGTACCTGCTCTGACAAATGTGCCTGTGGGACGCATACAGCCCTCACCCAGGGCAGCCCTCCAAGTGTCAGGTCCACAGGAACGTGAGCCCAGGGGGCCTAGACCCATGTACTCCCTGAGAAAGAAGTCCTGAGAAGAAGCCCTCTTCTTCAGGAGCTCTGGAGGCTGGGCCTTCTGGAATGGGGGGGGGGGGGGGGGGGGAAGACAATGGGTGGCCTGTCCACCTGCCCAGCCCCTGCTCAGGGGCTCTCAGAACTGCAGCATCTCTAGGGATCCCTACTAGCGCCCCCGGCAGAGCCTTATCTTCCCCTTCACACACACACACACACACACACAGTAGGATCTAGAAGGAAGATAACCTAGGCAGGGGGAGGGCCTGGAGGCTTTCATCGCCTCCCCCCACCCCAGCCACACCCAGGAGCAGCGGGGAGGAAGTCGGGAAAATCCTGCAGGGACTTGGCAAAGTGCCCCGGCGGTCGTGGAGGGGAGGGGGCCTGGAGGGGGGATCCCAGCTGTAGCCTGCACAGGCCAATGTGAAAGAAGGGGCAACCCCTCCCCATCTCCATGGAAGAGGAATGATCTGGTTTCTGATCCTGGGAGGTGGTTTGGGGGGCCAGAGAGGGCAAGGGCCCTGGGTCCATTCCTAGGAACAGACTGTGGAGAAAACCCCACCATACCTGTCTCAGGGAGCTCCCATATCCAACTGAGGGAGAAGCAGGCAACTTCTCCCCCTTCCTAAGGCTGGGGAAGCCCGTTTTCCCAGCAGTGGGACCAGGCACCTGGCCCTGCCCCCATGAACAAGACTCAGCAACGGCCCCGCCCACTTCTCTGCTCTTGTCCCCACACCTAGTCACTGTCCCACCCCCTGCCCGGCTCCCAGGGGTCGGGAGGTTAGGCCGTGGACCCCTTTCTCCTAACCACCCCCTCACCGTGGTAAAAGGCTCTGGGGAGAGGACGACAGCCCTCTCAGTATCCCTGATTACAGGACGAACCCCCATCCCTACCCCAGGCAAAAGCGTCACCTCCCCTAGTTTCCACTCCTTTTTTTTGGCTGGTGGAGAGGGAGTGAGATGCACTTGTTTCTGATAAGTGAATGGACTGGGGATGGAGGGGCAGACATGACCCGGCCTCCAGGGCCTGGGCACCAGCGGGTGGGACCGCGGCCGCACTGCAGGAACTTTCCCTCGGCGATCGCTAGTTTTCCGGGACCTGGCGCCCCACCCGGGGGCTTGGCGGTCGCCAAGGGAGCAGGAGCCGGGGACTGCGGAGCGTCCGGGGCTTGTTCCCACGGCCTGGGGCGGGGGGTCCCAGCAGGGCGGCCGGCAACGCCAGGGGAGGGCCTCCGGATTCCGGGGCTGGGCTCCACGGAGAAAGAGGCCCCCAGTCCAGGCTTCCACGGGGGCTTGGAGGGGGGAGCTCGGGGTCCCGAAGGTCCCGGCGGGGACCCACCTTGCAGGAATATGTGTGCTGCACCGGGTCCACGTTGAGGATCTCCTCCACCGTGCCAGTCAG